TCTAAATAACTATTGGGGAGTTAGAACCGATATTTTAGAAAATCTCTGGATATTATAGCTAGTCACAATGATATTGTCAAAGGTACTGTAAAACAGAGACTCAAGAGGACCCAATTTTATTCAATATAGGGGACAGCAGGTGATAGGGAGGTTAAGACTGAATTGGCCCAAGGCAGAGTATGCAGGTCAAGTCCCTGCCCTGGCTCCTTGAAAAACATGTTGCAAACGTGTTTGTGCATGCCAACAACCCTGAGAAGAGTATGTAGATGATGAAACTGTGGCATGGACATCACCCCCAAAGGATATTTTCTTACATCTACCCCTCACATTCCATTCTCTCTGGAGAGTACACATCTTGTAAAGGGGAAAAATCAAACTAAATAAAGTTCCTTTTTTTCCTTTTCAGTTCATTTATTATCATCATGGTTATTTGATTCTAATTTGATGAGAGAGAGAAGAGAGAAAGAGAGAAAATGAGAGAGAGAGAAAGAGAAAACTGCCATGTCCAGGATTTGAACCAAGTTGGCCATATGTTGGTTCATTGCCTTTTAACCACCACGCAACATGCTGGCTCATAAACTTAAAAAAACAATACTATTCAGCTTGGTTTGTGTGTGTATTGTGTAAGTTTATAATGCCATATTTGAAAAATCTATGTATGAAAATTTAACTTTATGTCATCCTTTACATGTTGAAATACATTGTAATATTTCATTTCTGAACCAATTTTAAATGACAGGCCTCTCATCATAAAAGTTTATATGAGTGCAAATTTTAAGAAAAATTATGAATATTTTACTGTAAAAATATAAAAGAATAATGTATCATGACTTCTAATACTAATACCTTAAAACAAATTTAAATATAACAAACAAATCTATAGGATCATTTCCAACAGCATACAAAAATAACCTAGAATCATCTGTTTTAAGATTGAAAAAAGAAAACATCCTGCAATCCCACGTTCTTCATTTATTGCCTAGTTCTCCCTTATCTTTACTATTAAAGATTCTCAGAGGAGATTTCTACACTTACCTGATTATCAGGCTTTCCTAGAAACTACTGAAACTCCTCATTATCAAGGACACTTGTTCTCATTTGTGTCAACTTTTCCATAGAATCGACAGTTGAGAGTTCTTGTTTCACCCGATGACTACACTATTCTGCTGTGTTTCGAGAAAAAGTAACCAGTGCTAATTTTTGTCACAGGAAAATGAAAAAGTTGTAGCTGTTTACCTGACTCCTTCCAGATTTATTTTATGAGAACTGTTGACAACATTCACACCTGGTCGACCATCAGAAGGTGAATCAATCTTCAATGCTCGTTTAAATCTGCATTTCATCGAGGCCCATTTCTCATTTTTATTCTTTGTGTCCTTCACACGTGAGTAGAATTGCTACTTGCAAAGAAATCCATTAAAACAGCATTTGGTTTCAAATAATTATACAGAAAATAAAAACAGAACATATCAAAAACATCTAGTTCTTAAAAAGAAATTCGACCCTCTCTCATCATAATTTATTTACTCATTTAAATATGATTCTGATATGTCAACTACATCCAAGAAAGTGTATGCTCTCACCTTGAAAATGAGGATAAATAGCACAAGTTGACACATGAGCTAATGTATGAAAAGTTGTACCTAAGCACAAAGAAGTCTTTATATTAAAGAGGTAAATATAGAAGAAGAGCTCTTAAGCCAAAAAGCTGGAATATCCTTTCTACTTAGCAAACAAAGTGTGAGCACAAAGTTTAGACACAGAGAGTGCAGGTGTTTTTATAAGAACTTGAAAGTAAAGTATAAAAGGCAAAAAGCTAGTACTGGAGATGAACTGTCTCTGTCTGTCTGGCAAGCACATGTGACCTATAGCAAAAACCTCTCCAAAAAAAAGGAAAAAAAAAAAAGACTGAGGTTCTCACCCCCTTCCAGGAATGGCTGTTAAGTCTTGTTATGAGATTAGTGCTATGCCTGTTGGTATTATTTACACATGTAACAATATTTAATTTTAATTACTTTCTAACATACTGTAAAGGATGTATACCATGATAGAAATAACTATGGAAAAAAAGTGTTTGGGGGACATTATTGTCAAAATACCCAGCCGTCACTTTATATAGTTTAATATCCAGAGTCTGGTAGTTACAATTTTGTTTAAAAATAAAGTTGATGGAGACCCGCAAATGGTGAATGAGTACGTCGCGGGACTCCTATGCAGTTGACTGTCTTTCAAGTCCCAGACCTGGCAGCTTAAAAATAAATAAATAAATAAATAAATAAATAATTTGGAAATGTTTATTTATATTTAGCGTAGAACCTAATTCTAATATGAATAAAAAATTATCATTACTTTTTTATGCCATAAACAGCATACGTAAGAGCTTCATATTTCCTTTAAGGAAATTTTTACTATTGGGCATGCATGCTAGACAAAGTGAGACAGAGACAGAAAGTGAGAAATAAGCCCCCAAGTGGGTTGGCCAGTGCACAATCTATTTTCCTCCATGCTTATCTCAGTATTTTGGGCACACATGCTCAAGCATTTGGGGTGAATATAAAGTGGCTGTTTTCGGACTTGAATGTCAGTTGGCTATGTGCAAGTCCAAAACTGAAACCATTATAACACCTGCAGGTGCTGAGAACAACACTATTGAATGCCTACATAAATTTAAAATGAAGATTGAAATTCCCCACTAGAGATTATTACATTAGGAGTTGAGTATAGGCTCAAAAAGCACCAAAAACAAAAAAGAAAACTAACAATGATCTATGAAATACAAATTATGTAAATAACTTAAGACTAAACATTAAAAAAAGAAATTATCCAGACAGAAATAATTATACAATTCCGTTTTACCTAAAAATATAAACTGCAAACTATAATTCTACAATTTAAGAGTACAAAACAGCTTTTGACTTCAAGCATATTAGAGGGAAGGCAACATTATTATTATTATCATTATTAATATTATTTTGCCTTTGAATAAGCTATTGGGTGTTGGTACTTGGAAGAAGAGCCAGGAGGTGGTGTGGCGATTAAGGTGCTGGATTCCCATATGGTCAACAATGGTTCAAGTCCTAGACCTGGTGGCTTTCTTTCTCACTTTCTCTCTCTCTCTCTCTCTCTCTCTTTCAGGTCAAACTAACAAGTAATCATAAATAAATAAAATAATATTTTTTTAAAAATCACAACTCTTTTCCGTCTAAATTAATTTCCTAATTTAAAAACAATT